GGGTTCAGGCAATTCTCCTGCCTCAGCCTCCTGAGTAGCTGGGATTACAGGCACGCGCCACCATGCCCAGCTAATATTTTGTATTTTTAGTAGAGACGGGGTTTCACCATTTTGACCAGGATGGTCTCGATCTCTTGACCTCGTGATCCACCCGCCTCGGCCTCCCAAAGTGCTGGGATTACAGGCGTGAGCCACCGCGCCCGGCCTCGCAGAAATTCTTAAAAGACATTTTTGAGAGGCTGGGTGCAGTGGCTCACGCCTGTAATCCCAGTATTCTGGGAAGCCGAAGAGGGTGGATCATCTGTGGTCAGGAGTTCAAGACCAGCCTGACCAACGTGGTGAAACCCCATCTCTACTAAAAACACAAAAATTAGCTGGGCGTGGTGGTGAGCACCTGTAATCCCAGCTACTCAGGAGGCTGAGGCAGGAGTATTGCTTCAACTCGGGAGGCGGAAGTTGCAGTGAGCCAAGATCATACCACTGCACTCCAGCCTGGCAACAGAGCAAAACGCCATCTCAGAAAAAAATAAATAAGAAAGACATTTTCCAGCCAATTGGGGAAACTTAAATATAAACAACTAGCTATATTAAAGAAATGTTATTTGCTAATGTGATAACGATATTTAAGCTTTATAAAAATGAAAAGAGACCTTTATCTGTTCAACGAAGAAGAAATGACCAGGCGTGGTGGCTCACGCCTGTAATCCAAGCACTTTGGAGGCCAAGGCGGGCGGATCACCAGAGGTCGGGAGTTCAAGACCAGCCTGACCAACATGGTGAAACCCCGTCTATTTTTTAAAAAAAAGAAGAAGAAAAAGAAAAAATACTACTAAATACATTAGACTCACAAGGAGAAAAAAATGAAGCTTACAAATCTAATGTTGGCTACCACCTAAGGAAAGGACACACAACTACCAAAAAAGTAAAGGCAATTATCTGATCAGTAACAGAAACGTGTTCTATAAGGGTATAGATAGAAAAAAGCTGAAGATACATTATGAAGTAGATCTCTCTGGGGAACAATTCAGGCCATGCTACCTCCCTGAACCCCTGTGTATTTCAACAATGGTATTAGTACTTACACAATTCTGTGTTTACACATTCACAGAGAAGAATGACTGGAGACAGTCCCAAGAAAAACCTGATCTAGACACTCGGGGAGTAAGATTCTACCTCCAAAATCTGAAACTAGAACTCAGAAAAAGTAGATACTTGAGCTGAAAAGTATTAGATTTGGCCAGGCACAGTGACTCACACCTATCATCCCAGCACTTTGGCTCACTTGAGGTCAGGAGTTTGAGACCAGCCTGGACAACATGGTGAAACCCCGTCTCTACTAAAAATACAAAAATTAGCCCAGCGTGATGGTGTGCACCTATAATCCCAGCTACTTGGGAGGCTAAGGCAAGAGAATCAATTAAACCTGGGAGATAGGGGTTGCAGTGAGCTGAGATTGTGCCACTGCACTGTAGCCTGGGTGACAGCGAGACTCCATCCCAGAAGAGTAGAGAGGAGAGAAGAGAGGGGAGGGGTGGTGGAGAGAGGAGGAGGCGGGAGGGGAGAGGGGAAAGAGGAGAAGGGAGAGAAGGGAGAGGAGGGGAAGAGAGGGGAAGAGTGGGGACCAGAGAGGGAAAGAGAGGGGAGAATAGAGGGGAGAAGAGGGGAGAAGAGGGGGAGGGGGAGGAGGGAGAGAAGGGGAGAGATCAGGGGAGAAGAGCGTAAAGGGGAGGGGAGCGGAGGGAAAAGAGGAAAGGAGGAGACTAGATTTGATGAGCGGGCCATCTTGAGCAACTTACAAAGAAAAGGCAGTAAATTCTACAGAAGAGATCTCAACACTAAGCAAGAAAAGAAGAAGTACAAATCTCTTTCCAACATTTGATAGTTTCAGATTTGATGCTTTAAAGAAAACCCTTAAGGACAGATCTTATAAGATATAACTAATGATAAGGGACTGAAAAAGAATTTATCCACCAACCCCCCTCTATAAAAACTTAAGTAGGGACACTAAAACCATTGCTTCATTTAAACCTGTTAACTATGTACTTGGCTTACTATTAATTTTATATTTCAGAAAAGAAGTAACCCTTTAAATGAATGCTGGAAAGAAGTGTTTACCATGTGGCAATTTCTCGATTGTCATCCTCTGGTGGTGCTTTCAGAATATCAGTGGCAACAGTATGACAGGGATAGTCAGCAAAACAGAAGATCTCTGGATTTATAAGGGAATGTTGAATGAAGGAGAGCTGCAATGACAAGAAAACGCTTACCACATTAATAATTGTGAATGCTATAAAAATCTGAAATGTTTTCATTAGTCTACTGTCAATCTTATCAGGTGTGGCAATTTCCCTTTTAAAATCTTAATTATTTGCCCTTTGAAAACCACACAAAATTCAGACACATGAGAGGTGCATAATGAAACCCTGTCTGGATTCTCAATCATGAAAACTGTTAGAACACATTTTTGAGCCAATTAGGGAAACTTAAACGTTACCTTGGAAACAAACATCATTAAACTATTGGGAAAACAGCATGACTGGTATACCTTAAGTGTCTGGCTAGTATAAAACTATAAAAATATTCCTACAATATTTATGATAGTCCCTGCTTTTCTGTGCTATGTATAACAAACTCTACTTTACAAGAGTGTTTCAATCAATGGGTAGATGGCACTGGATAAAGAGTAAGTGATGTTTCATTACCCCTTCTATAACTAAATACCACCCACTCACCTGGCCTTCGGCATGTTTCCAAGGTCTATATATGAGGTCTACTGGGAAGACTTCCATACCCAAACCCCTTTGAATGCCATAAACCACATTATGAAGTCCTTTACTGTCACGAATTTGAAATCCAGGATGGTCCAGTTCATAAGTTACTTCCTTGAAATTCAAACTCGGATTCTAAAAAAGACCAAAGCAGTTTAAAATTTAATGAATGTATGTATATTTTGATACATTATCCAAAAGGCCAAATTAAATCTGAAATTCAATTTAGATGTTCTACTTACAAAATTTTAAAAGGGAATTTTAGGCCGGGCGCGGTGGCTCAAGCCTCTAATCCCAGTACTTTGGGAGGCTGAGGCGGGTGGATCACGAGGTCAAGAGATCGAGACCATCCTGGTCAACATAGTGAAACCCTGTCTCTACTAAAAATACAAAAAATCAGCTGGGCATGGTGGCGTGTGCCTGTAATCCCAGCTACTCAGGAGGCTGAGGCAGGAGAATTGCCTGAACCCATGAGGCAGAGGTTGTGGTGAGCCGAGATCGCGCCATTGCAACTCCAGCCTGGGCAACAAAAGCGAAACTCCGTCTCAAAAAAAAAAAAAAAAGCGAATTTTAAGAAACCCATTTTTTTTTTTTTTTTCCCCAGAGAGAATCTCAACTCTGTCATCCAGGCTGGAGTACAGTGGCACAATCTCGGGTCACTGCAACCTGCACCTCCTGGGTTTAAGCGATTCTTGTGCCTCAGCCTACCAAGTACCTGGGATTACAGAAGTACACCAACACGCCCAGGTAATTTTTTTTATTTTTAGCAGAGACAAGGTTTCGTCCTGTTGGCCAGGCTGGTCTCCCAACTCCTGGCCTCACGTGATCCACCGGCCTTGGCCTCCCAAAGAGCTGAAATTACAGGAGTGAGCCATCACATCCAGCTTATCACACTACCTTTTAATATCTAAAAGTTCCTTTCCAGGGTTGGGTACAGTGGCTTCTGCCTGTAATCACAGGACTTTGGAAGGAGGGCAGGTAACCTGAGGTCAGGCATCTGAGACAGGCCTGGATTAAACCTTATCTCTACTAAAAATTAAAAGAAAAAATTAACCAGGCGTGGTAGCACAAGCCTGTAATCCCAGCTACCTGGGAGGCTAAGGCAGGAGAACCGCTTGAACCCAGGAGGTAGAGGATGCAGTGAGCCACAATTGCACCACTGCACTGCTCGCACGCGCGCGCGCGCACACACACACACACACACACACACACACACAGAGTTCCATTCCAGGCCAGGCACAATGGCTCACACTTGTAACACCAACCCACTGAGAGGCCAAGGTGGGAGGATCACTAACTAAAGCCCAGGAGTACAAGTCCAATATGGGCAACATAGCTAAAGCAAAAATAAATACAGTTCAATTATCCACCATAAACAAGATTAACTCAGAAGCACCCCAAATTGCAAGGTAACAACCCTAATTAAAAAAATTTGATTATGTACTGTCTCCAGTACACAATCAACTTGGACACTTTATTACTTCTTGAGTTAATGAAGGTGGAGAATTTTTAAAAATTTGCTTTCTTTGGACTATACCATCCTAACATCACAAATCAAAAACCATCATCACATATAACTCACCAGTTCTTTAAGAACATCAATCAAGACTTCTACATTCCACGTGTGTGCCTGTGCTCCATCACTTTTATCTTTTCCATCACTCCAGATCCCACTGCCCGGAGCAGAAATACTCTGTAAAAATAAGACTTCAATTAAACAAATCCAACTACTCCATGTGTTCACTTCTGGTCAGTAGAACAATCAATCACATTGTAATTTACTAAATAAAATAAAGAGGACAGGACATTAACTCACTTGGTAAAATAGCTGAATTCAACACACCTGTAATGGAATGCCATCTGTTAATCCTGAATGAGTTCGAGCCATCATTCCCAAAACTCTTGCAACCTGGGCAGCTGTGACCTCCCGAACACCAAACTGCATGATTATATTGCGACATTCTTCAATACTGAAACAGAAATGTGACTTCAGTAAAATGCTACCAGCCCCAAAACCAAGACTGAGAAATTCTGGCAGTATAATCTTTGAAATCCTTAGTTTTACTAACACAGGCAGAACAGAAAGTGTCATTTCTTGTTACACAGCTCGAAATGTAAAAATCACCTACTTCAGTAAGAAAATGGCAAAGTCATTATTCTAAGTAACTTGGGAATGAAAAACCAAATATTGTATGCTCTCACTTGTTAAATGGGAGATGAGGTAAGCTATGAAAATGCAAAGGCATAAGAATAAGCTAATGCCGCCGGGCGTGGTGGCTCAAGCCTGTAATCCCAGCACTTTGGGAGGCCGAGGCGGGTGGATCACGAGGTCAAGAGATCGAGACCATCCTGGTCAACATGGTGAAACCCCGTCTCTACTAAAACTACAAAAAATTAGCTGGGCATGGTGGTGCGTGCCTGTAATCCCAGCTACTCAGGAGGCTGAGGCAGGAGAATTGCCTGAACCCAGGAGGCGGAGGTTGCGGTGAGCCGAGATCGTGCCATTGCACTCCAGCCTGGGTAACAAGAGCGAAACTCCGTCTCAAAAAAAAACAAAAAACAAAAAAAAACGGTCACAGAGCAGCATTTCCTCTTGGGCTCCACCTCTTGTGAAATCAGCAGAGGCTACCCGGTTGATCCTGCCAGAAGCATAGAGAGAGAGAAAAAAGAAAGAAACCAACAGAGGCAACAGATTCTCACAGGAGCACAAACTATTGTGAACTGCTCATGAGAAGAATCTGGGTTGCACAATCCTTTGGGAGTCTCCCTCTGTCACCCAGGAAGGAGTGCAGTGGTACAATCTCGGCTCACTGCAACCTCTGCCTCCTGGGTTCAAGTGTCAGACTCCTGGGTAGCTGGGATTACACCCATGCACCACAAAGCCTGGCTAATTTTTTGTATTTTTAGTGGAGACCGGGTTTCTCCATGTTGGCCAGGCTGGTCTCAAACTCATGACCTCAGGTGATCCACCCACCTCGACCTCCCAAATTGCTGAGATTACAGGCATGAGCCACCACGCCCAACCTGGGCAATCCTTATGAGAATGTAATAAAAGATGATCTGAGGTGGAAGAGTTTCATCCCAAAACCATCCCCCACCCCACCTACCCACAGTCCACAGAAAAACCATCTCCCACAAAACCAGTCCCTGGTGCCAAAAAGGTATGAAATAATGAACTTTGGGGTCTGGAGGGGATAGGAGAAGAATAAAAGACTACATATGGGGTACAGTGTATACTGCTCAGGTCATGGGTGCACCAAAATCTCAGAAATCACAACTAAAGATCTTATCCATGTAACCATAAACCACCTGTACCCCAAAAACTATTGAAATAAAAATAATTGCTTTTTTGAGACAGAGTTTCACTTGTTGCCCATGCTGGAGTGCAATGGCACACTCTCACCTTGCTGCAACCTCCACCTCCGAGTTCAAGCAATTCTCCTGCCTCAGCCTCACTGAGTAGCTGGCATTACAGGTGCCCACTACCTCACCCAGCTAGTTTTTTTGTATTTTTAGTAGAGACAGGGTTTCACTATGTTGGCCAGGCTGGTCTCTAACTCCTGACCTCAGGCAATCCACCTGCCTTGGCCTCCCAAAGTGCTGGGATTACAGGCGTGAGCCACCGTACCTGGCCCAGTAAACCTTTTTTTTTTTTTTTTGAGATGGAGTTTTGCTCTT